CTCTCTCTCTCTCTCTCTCTCTCTCTCTCTAAAATGATATCTCGTTTACAGAATGTGTTTTACATTTATATCGCAATTAAGCAACGAATTGAACGAAAACTTTATTATCAACAATTTCGCGACTATTTAGTAGACATACTATACATGAAAATTAAACTCTACAAAAACATCCGGGTCAAAGTGGCCGTACATCCCCGACAGCAGCCAATCACAGATCGGCAAAAATATCTATTTGTTCAGTACCCTATTTTCCGGACGATATCCACCGAGTATTACTTACAATACAATCGCTATATCACTATATCTCTGCCCAAACCCTACAAAACCCAATGCTATGACTACAGGCTTATGGGCTATAAATCGCACACCCATTGCATAGCCGAGTGCCGTATACAGGGCTTTGCCCGTAAACACCCCAACATCCTACCTGGTAATTATTTACAATACAACATCACGTTGGATGCCAAACTAATCGATCCTGATCGATATTTCTACAGTAATAAACTATTTGATTTATCATTAGCTACATTATGTAAGAGCAAATGTCCCATGTTAACCGAATGTTACCGTGTTAATTATTTTTTAAAACTCAACCATTTGTTCATAAGCAACAATGTCACTTTTATAACCATGTTTGCACCAAATCAACCGGACTTACTGTATATACACTCGCCTAAGATATTGTTTGAAGAGTTTGTCTCATATATAGCCTCTTATGTTAGTCTATGGTTTGGTTTCTCTATTATAATGCTATCAAACGCTATACACGTTTGCTATCAATATATTTATCGTAAGATTACATTACATTTCCGTATTGTTTATAATGATAACCGTGTGTTTCATATTAACCCTATTATTTATTATAATCACGGTAATCAATTAAATGTTGATCAAGTTAAATCACCTCCTCGTATTTTAATATGATTTAATTTATGGTAAAATATTGAACACTAGCTTATAGTTTATTAAGATTAAAAATTTTACAATAGTATCTTGGATATAATAAGTCAATAATAAGACATGTTAAATTAAACTTATACAGTTAATTAATTGAATTATTTGATTTATTTAAACCGGGTCATGTGGCATAAAATTTCCAATGGTACCTATTTAATTAATATTTATATAAGTTATACTTTTATATAAACAATTAGTAAACTATGTTAGTAATAATTAACATAGTGTTAGTGAATAACATATTTAATGTACAGCATATAAAATATTGTAGAAAATACAGTACATTATATTGATTGATAAATATCAGTAAAGCATATCAAAATATGCATTTATAAGCAGTCAAATATGTCATATAATATGCATTTTAAAATGGTCAAATATGCACTCAAATATGCACTTAAAATTTTTAAATATCTGATATAAATATTATTTAATATATTTCATACGCAATTTAGCATAATGTTTTGATAAAAATGGTCGCTTAGCTTTCAAAACTCATCTAAATATTAGTAATAAATGGTAAAATAAAGTAAAAATACATTATTTATTTTTAAACAATATAATAATTTTCGTCACAACAATATAGTTAATACGGTATCACTACTATCTAATGAAAGTTAAATAGATATTTGCCTCATAAATTAATATTTCCTTGTAAACTATAATTAATTTCAATTAATTGTAAATTTATAAACAGTTTATTCATGTTTAGTTATGATTTTTGAGTAAATTCATGCGTTTTTATGATTTAGGACCAAATATGCAGTTATATGCATTTATGAGCCAAATATGCATTTATATGCAAAATAAAAGTTTGTCAAAACACCCCTTATTATGTGATTCGTTTGCCCCCTAAGTCCCAAACTTATATAACTAACCGGTAAAAACATGCATTTGCACGATATGATATGCTTTAGTTATCAATATGACAAACCATTATTTTACGGTGTATTTTACATCTCCCTATTTTAAATTTTACATTCTTGCAAAAATAATAATCGATTAAAATCAGTAAATCAATGATTGAATACGCAACTCGTATAAAATATAATTTTCTTATAATCGGGTTTTACTGTATACAAATTTAATAAAACGTATAAATTTAGAAACAATTAATTTGATTGTAGAATATAAAATAATTAATGATGAATTAGTTTTAAAAGGTTCTACCATGTATAATTAGTGTTAATAAAGCAATTAAATAGCTAAATTTTAATTTATAAACAATGTTAATTTTTCCCCATAGTAAGTAAAAGGACATGTAAATTACGTGCATTTTTGTATTTTACAATGTAAATTACATAGCTTTTTAAAAAATCATTTAATTTACCAACCTTAGTTAGCATACATTCCAGCAAAACACTACTACCAGTCAATAATTACAACATCTATAAAAAATAAATCAATTTTATATAACTAAAAATGCAATTAATATACAATATTTATTTTCTAACATAGCTCATAAAAATGCTCGATTCCTACCTCAATACTACGAAACTTACCGCAAATACTATCCGAGTGGTTGGTATCATAACGCGGGCGAACGGCCTGTATATGAGGTGATCAATAAACAGCCCCACATTATACACCGTATGGACGGCCAGTTTGGGTGCCGGCCCTCAATCTGTCCCTATCTATACACTGAGGCCAACAATGATTGGAAAAATAGTGGCTATTATTCAATACATTTACTGATTAGAGGCGACGAGTTATCGTTCGTCGGTTGGTGTTTAGGCGGCAAAACACCCGCCGTTTACCGCTTTAATGAGACAATTGTTGAGTCGTTGAGCAATACGTTTGGTTCAATGGCTAGAGATGTGCTACACTTTGAATTGCAATTACTTAATAAAGTTTAGTTAATTATTTAAATGGTACTGTATAATTTATAGTATAAATTTTATACGGTATAAATGTAAAATATGTTTGTCATTTCTTATTTAAGAATTTTAATTCATGTTTTCTATTAATATTTATTTAACAAAATAAACAAACGAAAAATATTTAATTAGTTATTATTTGTACCAATAATTATTCTGTAGTCGATACTTGTAACATTATAATAAGTGATGTGGTTTGCAAATTTTACTTAATTTAACATTTAGTAATTTTTATTGAAATTTTATTAATTTATTAATGTTTTTCTATCAAATCTGGCAAATAGTCCGGTGTTTACCATAAACTCATTGCAAGATATTGTGGATACTAATTATAACCATGAACTGACAGTACTCATTGACCCGACTAACTACAACTATCAAGCATATCTTAAGGTAATTTATCGATTACTAAATTAAATATATGGTAAATACAAAAAACAAGGTTTACACGCAATGCTATCCGTTAACCACTATTTTGGACATGTATCAAAGATTTTTAATTTTTCACTATTTTTGTTACGACACTTTAACCATTGGCATTAAAATCAAAATTAATATTTATTATTTATTTCAATAAGGATAAACATCCACAATTAAAATATACATTTATCACAGCAAACGATTTATACATGGTCAGTTTTCTTACACCTATAATTGATGGTAAATCGGCATTGATTGCAGATGAACAGGACATCGGGTTAAACAACGATTGAAACAAAAGTAATTAAATAAATACATAATAATATTATATTATTATTATTAATATATGATTAACTAATTATGCTTTTTTCTATCTAGATTTGCATTAATGATTAAGACGGGTCTATTACACTGGCGAATAAAAGTGAACAAGATGATTGCTAAAACCGAGAGTATATTATCAGAACTGAAAGCCAAACCACGACAGTATTGAATCAACAAATTCAGAAACTTATCACGAGTTAAAACTAATTGATATTAAAGTGTTTTTCTATGCGTTAATATGCGGTCACACTTTAACCACGTTTGTAATAATGATTGAATTCATATTCTCAATGTTAATTTTTATTATCACTTTATATTTATTTTAAAAAGACATTAATATTGTCAGTGATATAATTTACCCTGTTTGTCGTCAAACTCATCATCTTTAATGCCGTTATTTTGTGTTTTATATTATTTTTGGTCATTATATTCACCGCCTCTTCAGTCGAGACACAAATGTATAAAACATGTAAACAATTGTATAGTTTTAGTGCCCAGTATTGGCCACAAAATGTGCATGCTTATCATAACATACTTAATGAACAATATTAAAAAATAGATTAAATTGTAGTTTAATATAAATTAAATTACAATTATGTATTTAGTTAGATATTAGATTAATATACTATTGTTAAAATCACCAGTAAGAATTCATCTACCTAAAATTAAAAATTAATTTTATTCCTTTACAACTTTTATTTATCATATTGATTAATAAATATGTTTGTACTTAATTGATCGTAACATTTCAATATTATTTTAATTTGTTTTATTTAATTAATTATTTGATTAAGATACATTTTTACATACAAATGTAATGTAATAAAAATATCTTTATTATTAAGATAACTGTATAAATGATTTTTGATACAATTGTATGGAAAAGACGTTTGGCTCCACTTGAATGATAACGTAACTATAACTCCACTTAAAGTAAATAATGTTTACATTCATAATATTTCATTAACTATATCGTACATTGTGTGAATCCAAAACAAGCACCATGGTCAAAACACAAAAATTAGCACGTAACATTTTTTGGATCATTGTTATGATATTAATGTGTTTTACATTCATCAAAATTGTATACAACTTTTCCGACATTTCGTGCTATAACTGTAAACAACAAATACAGTCACCGCTCGTAACACCGGACCCTCCGGATCAGTACAACATACGGGGTTTACCCTTCAATATAGTGCCCAATATTATACACTATGTGTTGTTTAATGTAAGTGAGATACACTTCGCCCACTTTATTAGCATACTATCGGTGCTCAAAAATCAACGCCCGGACCGGATATACATTCACTGCGATTGTCACGAACTACGGGGTGATCGCTGGCGCCGTGTGGTAGCCATAGCCCGCCTGACGGGCACTGAGTTAACCGTACGGACCATTGATAGGCCGACCGAAGTGTTTGGCCATAAACTGAGTGCAAAGAACAACTTATGGCACGCGGCGGACGTCACACGCATTCAAGTGCTCCGCGAGTTTGGCGGCGTTTATCTCGACCGCGATGTTTATGTTATTAAAAGTTTTAACCCGTTTTATAAATACGAAATGACCGTTGATTTCGAAAACGAAAACCTGCTTTGTAATCAAATTTTAATTGGTAAGTTTTACTAAAAGTAAAATTTTAAATATCAACTTTTATCAATTGTGTGCTCAAGTGTTGCTTTACTCTCAAGCAAACATCTAATTACTCACCAGCACTCGCACTGTCACTATGGCTGCGATAGTAGCTCTGAATCAGAATAATTGTAATTTACAACTTCTATAAAAAATAAATCAATTTTATATAACTAAAAATTCAATTAATATACAATATTTATTTTTTAACCTAGCACATAAAAATGCTCGATTCCTATCACAATACTACGAAACATACCGCGAATACAATCCGAGTAAATGGTATTATAATGCGGGCGAACGGCCTGTGTTTGAGGTGATCAATAAACAGCCACACATTATACACCGTATGGACGGCCAGTTTGGGTGCCGGCCCTCAATCTGTCCCTATCTATACACTGAGGCCAACAAGGATTGGAAAACTAGTGGCTATTATTCAATACATTTCCTGATTAGAGGCGACGAGTTATCGTTCGTCGGTTGGTGTTTAGGCGGCAAAACACCCGCCGTTTACCGCTTTAATGAGACAATTGTTGAGTCGCTGAGCAATACGTTTGGTTCAATGGCTAGAGATGTGCTTCACTTTGAATTGCAATTACTTAATAAAGTTTAGTTAATTATTTAAATGGTACTGTAAAGTATAATTTATAGTATAAATTTTATACGGTATAAATGTAAAATATGTTTGTCATTTCTTATTTAAGAATTTTAATTCATGTTTTCTATTAATGTTTATTTAACAAAATAAACAAACATTTTTATAAATTAATCAATAATAAACATGGTTATTAATAAGACATCAGCTATGAACATTGTAATATTATTCACTACACCAAACGTTTAAAATGAATTAAATTGTAAATCATTAAAAATAACTTTAAAAGAATATACATTCACTGCGATTGCCGCGAACTACGGGGTGACCGCTGGCGCCGTGTGGTAGCCATAGCCCGCCTGACGGGCACTGAGTTAACCGTACGGACCATTGATAGGCCGACCGAAGTGTTTGGTCATAAACTGAGTGCAAAGAACAACTTATGGCACGCGGCGGACGTCACACGCATTCAAGTGCTCCGCGAATTTGGCGGCGTTTATCTCGACCGCGATGTTTATGTTATCAAAAGTTTTAACCCGTTTTATAAATACGAAATGACCATTGATTTCGAAAACGAAAAGCTGCTTTGTAATCAAATCTTAATTGGTAAGTTTTACTAAAAGTAAAATTTTAAATATATTTTTATCAACAATCAATTATTGTGTGCTCACAACTTGTGACTCACACCTAGCGTTGCGCCATTTATTACATATGGCGGCCATTTGGCCATATGACCGTCCAAATGCCCAAATGCAAACATCATGTGAGTCACAAGTCAGTAATGTTTACTCCAAAGTTAGCATACACTGCAGCAAAACATTACTATCAGTCAATAATTACAACATCTATAAAACAACTCACACACAGCGATGCTATACGTTAACTACGATTCGGGTGATGCTCAAAGAATAGATTAGCATTGACTATAGATTTAATACAAGTACATAGGATTAGCATTATCCATAAACTTAGCATTGCCATAGACTTAGCATTGCCATAGACTTAGCATTGCCATAGACTTAGCATTACCCATGTTAATTCCCCATAAACTCAAGAACCCCATGTTAAAGTATAGCCATAGACTTAAGCTGGGATCCCATGTTAAATCCCATAGGGTGGGGGGCCGAACAATCCTATAAACCACATTCTTTATATATGAATCGTGGTTAAAAATAAATCAATTTTATATAACTAAAAATGCAATTAATATACAATATTTATTTTCCAACCTAGCACATAAAAATGCTCGATTCCTATCTCAATACTACGAAACGTACCGCGAATACAATCCGAGTGAATGGTATTATAACGCGGGTGAACGGCCTGTGCTGGAGGTGATCAATAAACAGCCACACCTTATACACCGTATGGACGGCCAGTTTGGGTGCCGGCCCTCAATCTGTCCCTATCTATACACTGAGGCCAATGATTGGAAAACTAGTGGCTATTATTCAATACATTTCCTGATTAGAGGCGACGAGTTGTCGGCAATCAATTGGTGTTTAGACCGCAAAACACCCGCCGTTTACCGCTTTAATGAGACAATTGTTGAGTCGCTGAGCAATACATTCGGTTCAATGGCTAGAGATGTGCTCCACTTTGAATTGCAATTACTTAATAATGTTTAGTTAATTATTTAACTAGTACTGTATAATTTATACCTTATAAATCTAAAATATGTATGTAATTTCTTATTTATGAATTTTGATTAATGTTTTTTATTAATGTTTATTTGACAAAATTAACAAACGTTTTTATAAATTAAACATGTGGATTTAGATTGTGATATCAGCTATAAAGATATCAGCCATTGTAATATTGTTCACTACATCAAAAGTTTTATTTCAGGCCTTAACTTTTATAACCAAAGAACCACGTTTGTTCTTTGCTTAATATGTCTGTATGTTTACGTAATAAAGTGTTCATTATTGGAGGTTATTCATAGGGCTGAAATTTTTAGATCATTTTGGGATCATTTTCTATATATTATAGTGTAATTGCAGATTTATCACAAGATCAATACAATCATACTGTGTTGCTTATAATGTGAAACATATAAATGACTCATACTACAATATACAATAAAAACAAAAGTTTCAGACCTAGTTATTCACCGCCTCTTCAGTCGAGACACAAATGTATAAAACATGTAAACAATTGTATAGTTTTAGTGCCCAGTATTGGCCACAAAATGTGCATGCTTGTCATAACATAGTTAATGACAGTATTATTGATTTATAAATATGTTTTTAATTTATTTATTGTAACAAAATATAGCTATGTTTTTAATAAATACTGTAGTTTAATGTTATTTTAGTTTGTTTTATTTATTTGAAATTTAATTTACTAAATTAAATAACATTATTTAATCAAGATAAATTACAAATGTAATGTAAATAAAATATAATGTATAAACTTTATACACTTATATACTTTATACTATAAAGGTAAATTATTTCTTATTTATGAATTCAGATATTATGTTTTCTATTAATGTTTATCTAATAAAATAAACAAACTTTTACACAAATGAATCAATAATAAACATGTTTATTAGTAAGATATCAGCTATGAACATTGTAATATTGTTCAATACACCAAATGTTTAAGATAAATTAAATTTTTGATCATTAAAAAAATAATATTAAAATAAAATTAATTTGTTTTTCATTATGAATGATAAAAACTGTATGCGTTTAACAAATATCAATGTTTTGCTACAATCATCAAGTTTGGTTAGTGATACAAATTGTAACATTAGAATACCACTCATCAATATCTATGTAAATTAAATTAAAAATTTTACTTTAAATTAAAAATTATTGTAAATGTGTTTTACATTAATAGTATCAACAAATAAGCACAACACTTTACAAGATATGTGGCAATTATTTTATCATCATAGATTTGATATATAACTATGTGAAATGCGGGTAAATATCAATTTTAATTATTTCATTTGTTAATTGTGGCATAAATATAATAACTTCATTTTAAATGATCCAAATAATTGTGGTAAAACAAAAATGTCATCAAGTTTTTAGCCTGATATGGAGAGTTTAAAATCTAGATTATATTATATAATGAAATTAATACTAAAATGCAATTATTTTATTTTAGAATAACATTTGTACATTTTAATAAAAACATCGGGGGTGGTTTGTTAGCAAATGGCAGTTGGACTGGAATTATGGCTGGAATTAATTATAATGTAATAAATATATTAAAAAATATTTAAATTATATCAATTTTAAGTAACATGTATTTTTCAATGAATATAGAGAACCGATATAACTGACAACTATATGGTTTGCACAAGTGATAGGCTATCGATAAGCGAGTTACTATACCCGACTGTAATTAGTAATCGAATAAGCATATTATCGAGCGAGGTGCAACTAGTTGGCGAGTTGACCATGATGGACACGTTCAGCACAACATTATGGATAGCGGTATTCGTATCATTGATCATAAGCGTGTCGATTACGGTTTTAAATCACATTTACACAGACTTTAATAACTATTTTAATACCATGGAAGTTATTTTGTGCATTTTGCTTGATTACATGTTAATTCTATTAGGAAAATGTAAGATAAAATATATTTAGTCATGGATAAATAACTTATATTTTTTAATTTTTATACTATAGCAACAGTAAGCAAATATACGCGACCAAGAACATTTGCCAATATTGTTTTTAATATATGGATAATTAATTGTGTATTTATTATGCAATTATTTATGAGTGGTTTTCTATCAAATCTGGCAAACACTCCGGTGTTTACCATAAATTCAATGCAAGATATTTTGGATAATAATTATAACCATGAACTGACATTGCTCATTAACCCTTTTTACTACAGCTATCAAGCATATCTTAAGGTGATTTATTGATTAATAAATTAAATGTAAAGTCTTTAGTTAACACAAAAAAATATAATGATAATTTAAATTAATATTTATTATTTATTCCATAAGGATAAACATCCACAATTAAAATATAAATTTATTGGACCAAATGATTTATACATGGCCAGTTTCTTTGAACCTATCATTGATGGTAAATCGGCATTGATTGCAGACGAGCAGGAAATTAATTATATCATGGCATTAAATCCGAGTCTACCCATTCATAAGTCTACCAAAAACACACTGTTAGCCATATCTGGTCTATTGGTCCGCAAAGATCTTAATCCATGGATTAAACAACGATTCAAACAAAAGTAATTAAATAAATACATAATAATGTTTAGTATATTTATTAATTGTTTTTTCGTAATGTGAACTAGATTTACAGTAATGGTTGAGACAGGTCTACTTATGTGGCGAATAAAAGTAAACAAGATCATTGCTAAAACCAAGAGTATATTATCAGAAGTAAAAACTAAACTTGCTATTGAATCAACGAATTCAGAAACTTATCATAAGTTAAAACTAATTGACATCAAAGTGTTTTTCTATGCGTTAATATGCGGTCACACTTTAACCACGTTTGTAATAATGATTGAATTCATATTCTCAATGTTAGCATTCATTATCACTTTATATTTATTTGAAAAGACATTGATAATGTCATAAATATAATCCACATGATAAGTTAATTAGTTTTATAACTGTTTGACAATTTATATTTATGTTTATTAAAGTATATTATTATTTTGTTTATTTTTTTGAAATTTTATTTACTAAATTAAATGACATTATTTAATCAAGCTAAATGGTTGCATACAAATGTAGTGCAATAAAAATATGTATAATAATAAAAAACTATATAACAGTAAATTATGTTTCTCATTTATAAATTTTGATATTACCGTGTTTTCTAATAATGTTTATTTAACATAACAAACAAATGTTTTTATAAATTAATCAATAATAAAAATTATTCTGGATAATAAGATATCAGCTATGTAAAGTACATTGTAACATTATTCACTACGCCAAATTTTTAATTATTTAAAATATTTTTAACTGTTATTTTGCTTTTCATTATGAATGGTAAAAACTGTGTGTTTTTATCAAATATTAATGTTTTGCTACAATCATCAAGTTTGGTTAGTGATACAACTTGTAACATTAGAATTCCAATCTTCAATATCTATGTAAATTATATTAAAATTCCTACTCTAGAATAAAAATTATTGTAAATGTTTTTATATTAATAGTATCAACAAATAAACAAATCAGTTTACAAGATATGTGGCGACTATTTTATCATCATAGATTTAATATACAACTATGTGAAATGCGGGTAAATATCAAATTTATTTATTTCAAATCATTTGTTAAGTTAATCATGGCATAAATATTATAATCATATTTTAAATGACCCATTAACACACTTTATAGTGATTATTGTGTCATAAATTATTGTGGTAAAATAAAAATTTCATTGCGTTTTTAACTTTATATGGAGAGTTTTAAATCTAGATTAATTTTATTTTAGAATAACATTTATACCTTCTTCTGACGATATCGGAGGTGTTTTGTTACCGAATGGCAGTTGGACTGGAATTATGGCTGGAATTGAGAATAATGCAATAAATAATTATTATAATTAATAATAATAACGTATATCAATTTTAAGTAACATGTATTTTTCAATAAATATAGGGAACCGATATAACTGACAACTATATGGTTTGTACGAGTGATCGGCTATCGATAAGCGAGTTACTATATCCGACTGTAATTAGTAATCAACTAAGCATTTTATCGAGCGAGATGCAACTCGTTGGCAAGTTAACCATGCTGGACACTTTTAGTACAACATTATGGATAGCAATATTGCTCTCAATGATTATAAGTGGATTGATTACGGTTATGAATCACATTCATACATTAACAAATAATTATTTCAACTATATCGAGGTTATTCTGTGTGTGTTGATTGATTACATGTTAGTCCTATTGGGAAAATGTATGTTACAATAAATAAATCTCTATATTATAAATGATTTTATTAATTTGATAGCAACAATAAGCAAATATACGCAACCAAGGACATTTGCCAATATAGTTTTTATTGTATGGATAATCAGTTGTGTATTTCTGATACAATTATTTATTAGTGGTTTTCAATCAAATCTGACGAATAGTCCGGTGTTTACCATAAATTCATTGCAAGATATTCTGGATACTAATTATAACCATGAACTTACTGTCTTGACTAACCCTAGTTACTACATCTATCAAGGATATCTTAAGGTATAACATGCAGTATATCCATTATCCAGGATATTAATGTTATAACATTAAACTATTAATACAATAAATGTTTTTTATTTTAATTAGGATAAACATCCACAATTAAAATACAAGTTTATTGAAGCAAATGATTTGTACGTGGTCAGTTTTCTTAAACCTATAATCGACGGTAAATCGGTATTGATTGCAGACGAGCTGGATATCGATGATATACTCTCATTAAACCCATGCCTATCACTTCACAAATCCTTTGAAAACACACTGTTAGCCATATCTGGTCTATTAGTTCGCAAAGATCTTAATCCATGGATTAAACAAAGATTCAAACAAAAGTAATTTAACAAATATATAGTGATTAACTAATTATGCTTGTTTCGTATTGTGACTTAGGTTTGCATTAATGGTTGAGACGGGTCTATTGCACTGGCGAATAAAAGTGAACAAGATCATTGCCAAAACCGAGAGTATATTATCAGAATTAAAGGCTAAACTTGCCATTGAATCAACGAATTCAGAGACTTATCATGAGTTAAAACTAATTGATATCAAACTGTTTTTCTATGCGTTAATATGCGGTCACACTTTAACCACGTTTGTAATAATGATTGAATTCATATTCTCAATGTTAGCATTCATTATCACTTTATTTTATTTAAAAAGACATTGCTATTGTTAATAATATAATTTACGTAATAAGTCTTAGTTTTCTAAATGTTAAAAATATTACAATAATTTATAGCTATGTGACAATTTAAATTTATGTTTAATTAGGTTTTAATCTAATTATAGTATTATTTAAATATGAATAAAAACTACAATAATTATAATTTATTTTTAATATTGCAATATTTCGTTTTTTATTTACGAGTTAGTAATTAAAAGTTATTACAATGTTTGTGACTTTTCATAATATTATTTATAAATTTTTATCTGGTATAATATTATTTATATTTAATGATCAAATAAATAGTTTTACAAATTACATTTATATAAATATCACTAAATATTACTTTTAATTGGTAATTTAATTAATGACCAAAAACTCATGTTAATGTTATTCTATGTTTATTGTACAGTAATTTGTAATATTATTATCTAATTATATAAAGAAAAAATAAAATCTTTATATATTTTGCTTTATTTTTAATGCTAATTATTTTTCTCTCAAAATGTTGTTCAGTATTATGTTATATTCAAAAATTTAAATACTGGACATTTATTCTGTAGCACACAAGTAAATTAATTCTATACATTACGGATATTAAATGTTACGTATGTTTGTTAAAATTCATATTTTAAAATAGATATATTCCTTACGTCTATTGAATACAAACAATGTCTGGCATTAAATGCAATGAATTATTGCCTAAAGAATTGCGAATACAATCAGCAAACAATCAATTGTACAGAATTGGGTTATTATTACATAAACCCAATATACAAATCAAACGACCATGCACATCGCACCCAATACTAGTTGCGGGTATTATATTGTCGTATGCAATAATACAACTAATCTTGGTCAATATACCTGATGGACATTACATATGGTACTTAATACTAGGCGACGCCACCCGATTGGTAGGCCTGAAGTACTACTTCAAGATCGGGGCCATACTATTCAGTCTGCATAACATAAGCATACAAGCGATTTACGTGTATAATCACTGGCGTACAGTTGAACCCACGTTTATGCGAGTATTTATCATGATGTCCGGCGGGTGCACACCCGACACAATTGGATTGCCTAATAACAAATCCGTTTCCCAATTTTTACATACATCAAAACTTATGTTCCGTGTGTTTAAGTTTATCACTACAAGGACCACGTTTGTTTTTGGCCTAATATGTCTGTATGTTTATGTTATAAAATGTTCATTATGGGAGGTTATAGTGTACGGCATTCCCAACACCCTTTTGCTATCCTATGCCTCCTATCAGAATTACAATATACTGTTGTGGCAATTGTGCTATTTTTATCTAATGTGTAAATATCTAAAAATCAAGATCAATATATTAAATACAACCATTATGAATATGGCACGTAGTCGGAAGTTTAATGTGCATGGTAAGTTACAGGGAGTAATTGCCAAGTTGAATGGTGTGTGCGCTGAGATCGATGATTATAACATAACCTTTTGGTCAAAATATTTTCTATCCGTTTGGCTATTGTTGGGATCGATAATAGTTTTGCTCATATTTATGGTAAGGCTTACGACAGCCGTGTTTGTCGTTAAACTCGTCCTCTTTTATGCACTCGTATTGTGTTTTATGTTATTTTTAGTCATTATATTCACCGCCTCTTCAGTCGAGAAACAAATTAGTAATACATGTAAACAGTTGTATAGTTTGAGTGCCCAATATTGACCACAAAATGTGCATGCTTATGTGACATAAGTTATGTCCATACTTCTGTCTGTTAGTTATTTGATAAATATATACCTGTTAAAATTATTAGGATTAATTTACCTTAAATTAAAGATTAATTTTATTCTCTTTAAAACGAATTGTCTTATTGATTTATAAATGTATTTATTGTAAATTTATTTATTGTTACAAAACATACTAATTAATTAAATAATTATTTCAATAGTATTTTAATTTATTTTATTTGTTTGAAATTTAATTTACTGACTTATAAAACATTATCCAATCAAGAGAAATTTTTGCATACATACAAAATTTTACATGTATGTAATGAACGGCATTTCCCATGTTTGAAAAATATCTTCCAGGAAAATAGTTTTGCGCCGGAAAATTCTTTATATTTCTTAAAATTGGGAAAATAAGACAAGAATGTGGTCAAACGATGACCAATCGACGTGTATAAATACTTTTATCGTATTTATTACATGTGCCCTAACATGTTTAAACATAATAGAGAGGAAGATTTGGTAAAATCTATTTAATTAATTTAATTTAAATCAATTTGTAAATTATTTTAAAATCAAAATGTGATAATTGCGCTAAATGATCACGTACTGCTATATGAGTGACAATCAATTCTTTGTTATTCATCAAAAACATTATAAAAGTAATTGACTACTATTTTAAATAAGATTATTTTTATAAATTTTTATACTTTTGAAACTATTTATACATAAAAATACTTAAAATAATCAAAATTATTAAAAATATTTTCCCCTTGTTCGGCATTTCCCTCATTCACTTTTTATTGTCCATAGTTTCCCTCTATTTTCCGTCTCGGCAACATGGGGAATCTATGGAATTTTAAAAATCTGCCGTACATTACATGTATGTAATGTAATGAAAATAATCTATATAAAAGTTAATTATATTTGTTATTTTTTAAATATGAATTTTGATATTATTAATAATTTAATCGATATTGAATTGATTTACATCCAAAAACATATTATAGTTAATTACATAACAAGTTGTTATTAACAACTCTTTTTCAAAACAACTTTTATGCTGTTTATAAATTATTAATCATTATTATTGTAATTTATGTTGCTACACTAGCATTAAATGTTAGATGCTGAATTCAAAATAAATTTTAGCAAATAATGTAAAGCAAAGGATATTTTGTCTTTACATTGGATAATTTAATACATTTAAAAAATGCAATAAAATAATGCAATATTATTACTAATAGTATTAGCAATTTGAGTTTAACGCAAAACATCTCTAATTAGTATAGTTTAGAATTAATAAATAAAAACTTTATATTTATTTATATATCTTGGATGAATTTTTATTGCTTAGAAGTTCTTAGCTAAAGTTGTCAAATATATGAGTTAATATACAATTTCAATATTAACTTATAATTGTTTATTTAGTAATTATGGAAAATAATAACTGTATGTTTTTGAGAAATATACAAAATCTATCACAAACACCAAGATCAATTATTGATATCAGTTGTAACATTAAGATATCCCTTTCCAAAAACACCGTAAATTTTTAATATTAAAAACGTTTATTTAAATAAAATTAATTTTATTCCTTCCGATAGTATCGACGATTAAACAATGATTTATACAAAATATGTGGCGACTACTCGTTTATCATTGATTTTATATATAATGCTATGAAATGCAGGTAAATATTAATTTCAATTAATTAAAAAAGTATTATATGTCTGAAGATTGAATATATTTTTATGAGTAGAGTTAACAACTTAAACTTTATAACATTTTCATTTGTATATCAATATAACTTATGTAATAAAGCGTTTATATACGTTTATATGTAGCGTAACATTTGTGCCCGCATTTCAAAGCATTGGAGGAGTTTTGTTAGCAAATGGCAGTTGGACTGGGATTATGGCTGATCTCAAGCAGAATGTATTAACTAGATAAAATTATATATTGCATAAATCTAAATGCTAGATAAATATATTATATTCTCACACAGAGAACCGATATGTCAAGTATATGGATGACTTGTAACCCTGATCGATTATCAATAAGCGAGTTATTGTACCCGACTTTTGTTTTTAATCTAATCTCCATATTATCGAGCGAGGTGCAACAATATGGCAAATTTACCCTGCTAGACACATTTAATATAACTTTATGGATAGCCATATTATTTGCATTGGTTGTAAATACATCAGTGACCGTTCTTAATCATGTAATTTATGATCGTCACATTAACAAACATGATGATAAGATTGAGATCATAATAAAAGTATTGTTTGATTACATGTTGATATTATTAAGCAAATGTAGGTTTTAGTAACTTATATAAATAATGTAAACTTTGTAAATTTTATAAATCGTAAATTTTTAATTTATAAAATTTAATTTATAGCAACAATAAGCAAATACACACAAACAAGATCATTTACCAGCATTGTGTTCATCCTATGGCTAATCAACTGTACGTTTTTGATGCAATGGTTTACGAGTGGTTTTCTATCAAATCTGGCAAACAGTCCGGTGTTTACCATAAACTCATTGCAAGACATCGTCGACACCAAAGCCAATGAAGAAGTGACTGTATTAACCTACCCTGCTTATTATGGCTACCAACACTATCTTCAAGTATTGCTGTTTAATTTTATACATTTAAATCATTTTATTTACTAAATGAATATGTAATTAATTATGTATCAAGGATAAGAACCCACAACTAAATTACAAGTTTATTGATCGCAGTGAGTTGTACACGGTCAGTTTACTTGAGCCAATAATAGATGGTAATTCGGTATTAGCAGTATCTGAGAATAAAATCGATGACATTATATCATTAAACCCGAGTCTATCCCTCCATAAGTCCACTGAAAACATAATGTTAACAATTGATGGCCTATTGGTTCGGAAAGGCTTTAATCCAATGTTTAAACAGCGATTCAAACAGAAGTAGTTAAATAATTATACAAAACAAATTAATTGATGCTTTAATACATTGATAATTATTATGTTTGTTTAATTTAAAAATAGATTTCCCATAATGGTTGAGACAGGTCTATTTATGTGGAGAATGAAAGTGAACAAGATCATTGCCAGAACTGAACGCATATTAGACAAAATGAAAACTAAACCGACAATGATAGCCGTAGACTTAAAACAAGATTTTCATGCTTTAAATCTTATTGATATTCAAATATTTTTCTATGCGTTAATATTTGGACAAATGTTAACAACTATTTTAATAATAGTGGAAATTGTTTATTTTTTTTTGTAAATGCTTTATAAATAATATAATATAATAAAATATAATTAAAGGCAATCCTTGAAATCTTATTAAATACAATATATTATTAAAAATGGTGCTAGATAGGTAATCAAGCACAATTAATTAAACTTTGTTTTTGATGCTTATGATTGTTAACTTAAATAGTAAAGCTATTTTCGTAATTCTATCTACACGTCAAGCCTTCCATTATCTGCCATTATTTATACCAATAATATTTTATATATACAGTAGACATTCGGTTTTGACAGGCGCGATTTTAACAGAATTCGGTTTTAACATAACATTTTGTTAGCACCGACGAGCGATATTAGTACTGTTAAAGCACCCGATTTTG